CTGCTTCTCAAACTCCATCATGATCTTCTGGATGTTTGCGCTCGACATCTTCGCGTTCATCTTGCCCATCACCTTTGTCACCCCCTTCATGCACTGCGCCATCTGCGCCGACGACGACATCGTCTGCAGCCGCAGGCTGACCGCCTCCATGTGCGCCTTCATCTTGAACATCTTCTTGATGTAGCCCCGCGTCCTCACCAGGTCCTTGGCCATGATCTTGGCCGAGTCCATCTGCCCGTCCTTGGCCGCCTTCTTGATGTCCGCCAGCAGCTTCTTCTCCTGCCGCTCGAGCGCGGTCCGCTCGCGGTCAATCTCGCGGACTGACTTTTTGATCTGGCGGTTGTACTCCTTGATGCGCTCGGCGGGCGTCTTGCCCGTACCGAAGACGCCATCCAGCATGGCTGTGCGCTGTCGGGGGAGCAGCCCAGGCGGGGCGAGAGGGCGAGGACGAGCGCGGCCGGACGGCGCTCAAGCAAGGGCTTCGGCCGAAAAATGAAGAAAAGTTGGCCGCGCCCCCGCGGCTGCAGGGTCGTGGGGCCCGCCCCAGCGGCTCCACACCAGGCGTTTTGGCCGCGAGGGCCGCCACCGTGCCCGCCACCCCTGCCTCCGCCTCCACCCCCGCCGCCGGCGGAGCCGCCACCAGGGAGCTGCCTAAGCGACTCCTGCGAGAACGCGAAGATGAAAAAGAGAAAAATCGCGCGCGTTGTCCCCTTCGGCGAGTTCACGCCGCGTCGCACCTTGCCGCCTCCTTCGGCGAGTTCACGCCTCCGCCGCTTCCAATCGAAACCCGCGGGACTTCCCTAGTTACTTAAGTCGCGAGCGCATCAACGCGGCGGAGGCCGCAGCGAGAGGGAAAGCTCGCTGATGAAGACATGGAGCGCGAAGCTCCCGGCAGCACGCCCTCGTCGATCTGCAGCGGACATTTGGCCTCCTTTCGCTGTGACGGAGGTTGACAACGCAAAGATGGTTGGCTGGATCCCAACGCCGCACGTGGAGGCGCGGACGACGCAGCGAGGCGCCGTGGTCCAGCGGCCAGAGGTGGAGGATGAGCATGTGCCGTGGTCGGAGGCGGCGCCAGGATACTCGCCGCACACGACCGAGTTCCCGTTTGCTTGGAAAACAGGCGAGCAAGGCTCGGACTGGACGGCGGCTCTGCAGAAGTCGTTTCAACCAGGCGGCACCGGTGCGGTTCGCCTCAACCCTGGTGGGCGGACCGGTCTCGTCGGGGGGTGGAGCGCAAACGCGCGTGCGGGCGCGAACCAGGCGGTGGACCCCATCATCACCCGCTTCAAGCCGGGCTCAAAGGAGACGCTGCAGCTTCTCGCCAGTCTGCGGCGCGAATGCAACGCGTGGGCTTTGCCCGGTGCGATGGTGAGGTACGGCGAGAGCGACGAAACTGCCATGCGACGAGGGCTGGCAGAGAAGGGCGTGAGCAGAGAGATTTCGGATCTCATCCTGCCTCCCTCGCCGCCGGTCGCTGTCGCTGCCACCCAGGCCACCGCGAAGCCTTCCACTGTCACCACCCAGGCCATCGCGAAGCCTTCCACTGTCAGCCGCATCGCGTCCTCCGCCGCCTCCGCCGCCTCCGCCGCCTCCGCCGCCTCCGTCGCCACCGCCTCCGCTGCCACCTCTCTCGCCTCCGCCGCCTCCGCCGCCTCCGTCGCCACCGCCTCCGCTGCCACCTCTCTCGCCTCCGCCGCCTCCGCCTCTGCTACTTTCTTCGGAGCGAGCGAGCGAGAGCGCGAGCGAGAGCGCGCCACCGAGAGCGCGCGACCGCGCGACCGCGCGCACGTGGCCTTCGCCAGCGCCAACAACGACGCCTCGTCGACACCACCCGCCTCCGCTCGCGCCCCCCTGTTGCCCTTCTACCAGGGCTACACCGACGATTCGCGCAACTCCGACGACGCGTGGATCGAGACCACGGTGTACAGGTTCCACCTCGACGGGCACAGCGAAACCAACATCAGCTCTCCCGGCGTCAAATGGGTCGACATCTCTGAACTCGGGGTGGCCGCCACCCGGCACATCTTCTCGCCGCACCGCATCTGGGTGAACCGGGTGGCGGACGAGATTCTCAAGGCGCCGACGCTAGAGAAGGAAATGCGCGCCGTGACCCTCCGGCTCCTCTTCCGGCCCTTGACGCTCAGCCTCGGGGCGGTGCGGTTCGTGGGCGTGGGCGCGCTTGGCTGCGGCGAGGAGCATAGCAAAGCGCAGGCCATCGCGAGCGCAGCCATTTCGAGCGTGACGCATGTCGAGCTGCGGCTGTGTGGGCCAGGTTTCTGCAGCCTGCGCTCCGAGGTAATCGCGCAGGTGCAGGCGGTGCAGTCTGAGGGGGTCGAGTGGGTGCGCTGCCGCTGCGCGCCTTTTGCGCCAGTCGTGGTCGGATGGGAGTCGCGCAGTCGCCTGAGCATACCGCAAGACGCGACGCACCAGGCGTTTGTCTACGGGCCGCTAGACGAGATTACGGTCAAGGACGGGAACCGTGACCCGCAGACCGAGCCTTTTGTGCGGCTGCTGGTGAACGGCGGCTTCGTGTACGTCGACTGCGAGGGGCAGGAGGCGAAGGTGGTGGGTGTGACGTACGTCGACGCGCCTGACGTCAACGCCAAGGACCTCTACTCGAAGAACCACGCCGTCGAGTTCAAGGGCCCGCACCGGATGGAGGAGAGGTTCCGACGCTGTCACGCGGAGAAGGGGCATTGGACGCCGGTGACGCTCTCCTTCCTCCGCGACGCGGGCGTGGGGTCATTCATGTGGCTCAACCCCGGCGAGAGTGCAGGCACCCACCCCATCAAGCTTGGCGCCTTTGCCTACTCCTCGGCCGCCGCAGACGACGACAGCAGTGCCAGCGCGGTCTACTATATTCTCAAGTCGGAGGACGACTTGCGCGGGGCGAGCGCGCGGGTGGACCTCGACTCCGCCGGCGTCAAGTTGCCAGTCGAGGTGGCGCGCAAGCACTCCGACGGCGCCCATGCCGCCGCCGCCGCCGCCGCCGCTGCGGCCGCACACAATTGGTCGATGTTTCATGACGCTGTCGCAATGGGCGACGCCTCGCTCGTCGAGTCGCTCATCGAGGACGACCGGCTGCTCCCGGAGGAGCTGGTGGAGTCGCAGCTCACGAAACACAAGGCCGCGGCTGCGCCCTCTCGCACGGGGATTCTCTCTCGCAGCTTCTCCCTGGCGGAGCTGTCACCCAGAGCCGCTGGGGAAATCAACCGCCTCGACGTCCCTGCCGACAGCAGCTCGCTGACGCCTCTCATGATGGCTGCGAAGCTCGGTCACTGCGACGTGGTGCGCACGCTGCTGCGGCGAGGCGCCTCTCCCATGGCCCGGGCCCAGGACGGCTCCACCGCGATCGACTTCGCGTTGCACGACGACGAGCTCTCCGTCGAGCAGCTGCTACACAAGCTCGACGCCGCCATCGCCCTGGTGCCGGCGCTCTTCCGCCACTCTGCCGGCGAGGCCTTGTGCTACGTCACCATGATCGCGGCGCGCGCGCACATCGTGCGCGAGCGGCGCGAGCGCAGCAGCCCCGCAGATGCCAACCAGCTTCAAGGGAGGGCGGACCGCGCAGAGCTCCTCGGGATCGAGCTCTTCAAGACGCTCTCTGTGGTGCAGCGCACGATTCTCCTCGAGCGCGAGCCGTGCAGGGCGACCACGATCCCCGAGGTCAGCAAGGCGAAGGTGGGGCGACCCCGCGGCTTTGTGGCCCGCGCCGTTAACACGCCGTGCCAAAAGACGCTTCTGGGCGACCCGACCGTGCAGGCCGCTGTCAACTTCCGCTGGTACGGCCCGCTGATCGATTCCGTTCTCAACGGCTACGTCGTCACGCCAAACGGCAACGAGGAGCGGGTGCGGCGGAATGTTGCAGCGGCCTGCACGGTCGGGTCGCCCAGAAGCGTCTTTTGGCACGGCGTGTTAA